CTGGTAGTGTTAGTTCTTCATTTATATTTATTTGTCACCCAACATCTTGTTACTATGGGAATGTGTTGGTATTGTTGTCTTGGTGATGTCTTATAATGTAATAACAATAATAGTTCATTCTTATATAGCGCCTATAAGGAAGTTGTCAATGCACTGGCTTATGGTTGAACAGTAATTTAGTGCTGTCGCCATGGTAATGATGATGTTATATTCTTTTTTTATGTTGATGTTTTACTTGGTAATGTGTTGATATCTCTTTTTATTCTTATTATTTATTTACTCCCCCTCTTGCTAGATTCCTTTGTATTTTTAATGTGTTGATGTTGCTTTCATATTATTTGTTGTAGTTTTCTGAGTAATATATCATGTTAATGTTGTTTTCTTTGTATTGTGTTGATATTTTGGTCCACTTATTGTGATTTCAGAGATGGTGCTTGTATAGATATAGCTCTTGATCATGGTGCTGATGTGTATGGTTTAACCAGCCACTACAGCCGACCTATGACCCTTGCCTCGTGCTCTCGTGATTCTACCGTCAGAATCTGGTCTCTATCACCTCTTGTAACATCTGTTCATATGAAGATTATTGCTAGACGTCCATGGAAGGAAATTATTAATTCACCAGGTTTCTTCACATTTTCTGTTTATTACTATATTGTTGTTGTTCTTAATAGTGTTAATTTGTTTATTTGATTGATGAATAATAAGTTTGATTGTCCTATTTGTACAATTGATATTGTTAAGCATTGTTACAGTATATTCTTATTGCTGTTATTATTTGTAGTTTATTTTTGTTGTTACCTTTTAGTGAGGCCATTAAACATGCCTTAGTGCTGTCATTGCATGGGAAAGGGCATTAACAATCTTGCCTTAATTGCTAGAGCTGCATCATCATTAATGTAGGACATTGATCATATTACCTTGCTAGAAGTGCATCAACATAGTATAATGTCAGTATTATTGCCGGACAATGATCATATTGCCTTGCAGAGCCGCATCAACATTAATGGAGGACATTGGTAATATTGCTTTGCTAGAGCTGCATCAGCATAGTAAGACAATGATAATATTGTTTTGCAAGAGCTGCATCAGCGTAGTAGGACATTGATAATGTAGCCTTATAGCTGCATCAGCATTGCATTAAGGAAATATAAAATTTGCCTTTTTATAAGTTTGTATTTCAGAACATTCAATGACAGTTGGTTGTGAACCTCTTCTATCTGGACGATTGACTCGAGAAATCAAGGCCAGAATTGACAAATTCAGGGAAAATGTAGATTATGATGTTATACTTAGGTGGTTTTCTCCTCTTTTTATGGTGAGCCATTTCAGATATTGTTGTTTTTTTTTTGTTTTTTTTGTTTCATACATTGACAGTTAGCCAATTGCTAATGTGCAAAAAATAATAAAATAAATTACATTACTATTTAAACTTATAATATTTTTATGTTCTTCTCAAGATACCAAATGGTTGCCAGAATTTATGGGAGTTGGTTTCAATTGTGAATGGTCAAGATGATAGCTTACTCTCTGGCAACTATAACAAAGGCATTTTACACACAAAACACCTACTCAAGTTCAGAGCAGTAAGTTGAAACTTACATTTGTCACAATGAAACAACGAGGTATCTTGCTTAACCATTTAGTTTCCTTGCTATGCTCTCACAAATTCCTGGTAACATGTTTACCAAAAACTAAAATAAATACAATTTATATATGTTTATTAATTGTATTTATTAATGAAAAGTGTTTTTTTTTATGGCATTAGTCTGATGCTCAACAACTTCAACTAGCAAAAATATCTCAGTACCGAAGGCAAGGTGGTTCCAAGTCGTGTGAGGAGAAGTTGCGGGAAGCAGCCCTCATTCATATGAAACTTGGCAATGTGACTACATACTGTGAATTGATGATTGAACTCGATGAGGTAAGTCAAATGTCCACAATACTGTTTGTGTCTTTGAGGTGAATTTTTATATAATACTATAAGCCACCTCCTGACAATTGTAAGTGTGCACTGTGCCATTATCCCATGCATCTGGGTGTGCCCTGCATCATTATCCCATGCATCTGGGTGTGCCCTGCATCATTATCCCATGCATCTCAGGGTGCCCTGCATCATTATCCCATGCATCTCGGTGTGCCCTGCATCATTATCCCATGCATCTCGGGGTGCCCTGCATCATTATCCCATGCATCTCTGTGTGCCCTGCATCCTTATCCCATGCATCTCTGTGTGCCCTGCATCATTATCCCATGCATCTTAGTGTGCCCTGCATCATTATCAAATCCATCTTGGTGTGCCCTGCATCGTTATCCAATGCATCTCAGTGTGCCCTGCATCGTTGTCCAATGCATCTCGGTGTGCCCTGCATCGTTGTCCAATGCATCTCGCTGTGCCCTGCATCATTATCCCATGCATTTCGGTATGCCCTGCATCATTATCCCATGCATCTCGGTGTGCCCTGCATCATTATCCCATGCATCTCGGTGTGCCCTGCATCATTATCCCATGCATCTCGGTGTGCCCTGCATCATTATCCAATGCATCTCAGTGTGCCCTGCATCATTATCCCATGGATCTCAATGTGCTCTGAGAAATAACCTCATGTGTGGCAGTATCCTCTGTGCCATTACCCATGCATCACAATGCTCTGTGCCATCATGCCTTGCATCTAAAGTGTGCTCTGTTCTACAGTATCATATGCATCTCAGTGTGCCATCATCCCATGCATCACAGTGTTTCTCAGTGTTTTCTGTGCTACCATCTCATACATCTTAGTGTGCTCTGGACAATCACCTCGTGCATCTGAATTTCCTCACCATTTCTTGCCATGAATTTGTTGTTAATGTCCTGATGCAGCATCACTGCACATTGTGGTACAATCATAATATTGGTGTCTTTTGTCCAATTTGAATATCAACTTTATGCATTATATCAATGTCTTTTTTTAGGCATTTTTTAATGTTAGCAATTTTTTTGTGTCTGATTTTTAAAGTAAAGTAATGTTTACTGATTTCTGTCTTAGTGGGAGAAAGCTCTTTCCATTGCACCATCAGTGTCCATGGATTACTGGAATTCACTAGCACAAAGGTGAGCACACATCACAAGATGGTTGCAATTTGATTGCATTGTGGGACATTGATATGGAGAAAGCATATTGATTGCATTGTGGGATAGTTGAAAACATTCATTTATTCATTCTTTATTTGTTCTGAAAAAACAAAAACATAAAAGCATAAACGATAACATAAATGATGTTAATTTCCTTCAGGAGAGCAGAACGTCTTTGCCGGGAAGATAATGACGAGTGCATACCATACTTTATAGCTACAAACAGTTTACAACCATTAGTGGAATATTTTGGCAAACATGGTCAGTTAAAAGATGCTGTTTGCATTGCGCAGGCAGCAGTTGAGGGTGCTTTCCAAGATATTTCAAGACATGATACGCATGAACGATTGCCTTCAAAACACAATGGACTAGATTGTCCAAGCGAAGAACACACAAGGTATTTATTTATCACAATTACAAACAACTTTGGGATTATTTTATGTTATTTATATCCACACTACCAAGAGATGAGAATTATATGGAATTTAGCTGGTAGCTTAGTCGGCAGGTTATTGGTTTTGTTGGATTATTTTGTTTATATATGTTTCATAATTTTACTTCATTAATTATAATACTTTGAATTATATGGATTTTAGCTGTGGCTTGGTCGGCTTTGTTGGATTATTTTGCTTCATTAATTATAATACTTTGAATTATATGGAGTTCAGCTGCAGTTTGGTCAGCAGGTTATTGGTTTTGTTGGACTATATTGTTTATATATGTTTTATAATTTTACTTCATTAGTTATAATGATGTGCATTTGTATTTATATTCAGGATGTTGAATGATGCCGTGGATAAATTGGCATTATGGTATTTTCAAGATGGTTGTCCAATTCATTCAGCATGTTGTCATTTATCTATTGGGGATATAAAGGTAAACACACTTTTATCTATGTAAATTTATTTTTGTTAAACTATCTGTGATGTTAAGGTAAACAAACTTTCATCTATACTTTAATATCTGTTATTTAACTATTGGTAATGTGAATAGTAACAAATATGAATTTACATTTTTTCATGAATCTTTTTAAAAGTACTTGGGAAAAAACTTTTATCAGAAATTTTACAAATCAGAAATAAATGATATTGAATACTGTTTATAATTATATCTTGTATACCATTTGTATTTGCTGTCTTTCATGTGCAGTTACTGTATCTCACATCAGTAGCATAAGAATCTTATAAAATTTTCATTTTAATTTCTCTCAGAAATGCTTATCCAAGTTAATGCGAGGCAATGAATTGGAGCTGGTTGTAAGCATTGGAAGCGCCCTCAAGTCACCAGAAGCAGCGCAGTTTGTTAATATTGCCATTCGGTTGCTTGCTAGAAGGTGTGAAAGGCTCAATAAATGGTAGGGTAATATCTAATAGTTTTAAAATTATGGATCCCAGCACTGCCTCAAAACTGTTGAGAGTGAAATATGGATCCAGCACTACCTCAAAACAGGTGGGATTGAAATCTGGATTCTAGCACTGCAGTTGGGAGGGACATCAATGTCATTAATACTAGTGAGAGGATCACCTGTATGCGAGTATTGAGAAGGTTATCAATATGTCAAACAATCGTCTTTAATCCTTAATTAGTATATTTTTTTTGTAACATACTGAATACTGTCATTACTAAAAAATGTTTATTGAATTGCAGGGAGCTTGGCATTGACTTGCTAAAAACGATTCGTGAAAATGAACTGGATTTGATAAAGTTGTGTGCACGGTATTCAGGTAGTGCCTCAGAGGTCAATGACCTTCACCTACAGGTAACCACATTCATCAATATTTTTATTTATTTTAAGTTAATTGAAATTAATTGATAAGTTGAATTGTGGAGTGGATAAAGCAGGGGCGCCACAACATTATTCGTCTGGTGGTAGAAGAAGACTTCTCATATAAGCTGTAGGCCTATGGTCTACACAATTGACTTATGTCTTCCTCACCAGCATATGAATATTCGTAGGTTCCCACTCCCCATGTATTAGCATGAATGGCATAGTTAGAACTGATGATCTCTTCCTATGTTGTGGTGTTTTCATTATTCTAACTTCTTTTCAGAGTGTACTCTGTTATAATAATAATATACATTATCCAATTTGTTGTGCTTTGAATTTGGTTTTGTCTTTGAATTTGTAGATGATCTGAAAAAACCTGGAATTCCGTTTAATAGCATTTCTCAATTGGTAGACTTACTTGGGTGTATAAGAACATGTAAATTGAAGAAAATCAAGAACACACAGTAAGATTTAGTTATTAATTGCTAATCTAGATACCGCTCCCCTCCCTGCTTCCCAATGTGCTGTTCTATTTTCTCTATGGTCAAAGTAAGAGATTGTCATATAGAATAAGTGGATCTGCAGTGGCAGGGGTCCCAAGTTGTGAAAGTGAATTCCTGAAGAACTTGTCATGCAGGACAGGCAGATGTTTTTGACGTGTGTATTAGCTAGCCTAAAACGAAAACGCATGTACAAGGATGCGCATGTACACATTTATCACCATGTTCAATATGAAAACTAAGAGGCTTGGGCAGGTTTAGGACACTGTTAATAGCTTATTACTGCCTAATGTAATAAAAGTTATGTCTGCCATAGTTAAAATCTGGTAACATCCTGGAGAAATCCAAGAAAAACTCAAATTCTGGGAGGAAACGTGGAAGCCCTGGAAATGGCAAAGTGACACATTTTTCCGCTTGGGGAATATGGCCATTTGCTAGAATTGGTCATGTGATAGAAGTGACCTTGTAGTAAAAGTGGTGCTGTGGTAGAGATAGTCATGCTTCATCTTTGTTGTTCATTCAGATTGCGAGCTGAACTGTTGATCATTAGTGCATATGTTGGTGCATTGAAAGCAATACAGAATGAGTATCAGGATGTTGTCATACCACTGTTCCAACATGCAAGGTAAGTATTTTGTGACTGCTTAAATATGTCTGTCAAACTATTACAACTTGCAAAGTACATACTTAATAATAAGATATATGATACCAACATATTTCTTAATAGCCATTGTTCCTTTTAACTAGTACACCCCTTGAAACTAAATAAATTGTTTGTTACTTCTGTAATGACAGAAATGCCACAATATTATGTGTACATCCTTATTTATTTTTCACTGTAAATTTATGCCTACACCTGATATATGGTATACTTGTTTGATAGGAACTTGATGGCCATCAATTCAGTGAACATAGGTGTCAGTGATGAGCAATTATTGTCTGAGATCACAGCTGTTACTCTTCATTCAACCACCAAACAATTTAAGTAAGTCATCATCATCTTTTAAAGTCTATAGACTGTTGGAAAGCTGTACATTTAGCTGTAACGTAGATATATCCTGTGAGACCAAAATGGTGCGATCATCGGCAACTTCTGGAATGAAGTTTAACCTGCAGATGTCCCCCCTCACAACGTCCGGCCGTGAATTTAGTCATTTAATCAGACATTTGACACATTCCCACCTAAAGACTTGTCCACACTCACAAATTTTATGTGACAAAAGCATGTGACATGCCCATATATGGTAATGTTATGCAATAATTTTATACTTATTTTTTTCTCCGTCTGGATGTTTTTGGCAAAACTATTTGCTAAATAAGAAAACAAAAATTTTATTTTTATTTTTATTCCGCCCTTTTCCGATGATCTTTAAAAGAAAGGCTCGCCTAAATATGGTCATTATGACATGATATCCTATTTAATTTCCCTTGTATATATATATATATATATATACATGTATATATATGTATATGTATGTATATGTCATTCAAAAATTCGTTGTCAAAACCTAATAGTGATTGACAACCGGCACAAGTGATTCTCTATCAAAAAATGAGGATTATGGAGTGGATAAGTTTTAGTTGAAATAAAATCGCTCACATGATTTGAACCCAGGAGCTTGGGATTGGAGGTCAAGCACCACAAAGGGACAGCCAATTTAAATCTAATAGGCCTATGTGCACACTACAAAATTCTACAATTCAGTTTTACAATTAACTATATTAAGTCTCTTTTATTACCTTGTTTCGCAAACTAAAAAGAAACAAGTTCGCAAAACAACCACAAGACAGTTTTTATTCCACCCTACTGTGACAAGATCGTCACAGTAGGGTGGAATATAAATAAAATTGAAATCATTATTATTGGCGGGCAGCATAGGCTTAGCCAACGAGCCGTCCGTCCGGCCGTCTTTTGAACGGCCTACAATTATTTAGGACGGCTTGGCCTAATCAGCACGGCCTAGTCTATTGGGCCTGGTCTAATTCTTTATATTCTTCAAATTTATCGAGTGTTCCATTAAACTAAAGCTAAATCATATTTACATTTAATAAAAACAACATTTATCGATTGAATGTACGTTGTTTTTGTACCAATATTCAGTGGGGATTCCCAAAGATGGCTGTGGCCCGCCCACTGGCTTCCATTTTGGACGGCCTATATCGTTTTTCTGGCTAAACCCCTGGCGGGTGGTGGCTTGCTAAAGAAAGTATAAGGGTGAATTTTTAATTTAATAATTATTCATTTAATCATTTTATGATTCTAAATATGCATTATAGTAGAGCTATTTGAATGAGGAACGTAAATTAAATTTCTGTTTCTGTTTTAGTAAGAAAAACATGAAGATTCACACCGCATCAGTCAAGATACAGGATGAATATCAAACTTTATTGGATCGTGTCGGCCAATCAGAGAGCCCCGTAGAACCTGGTGCTGATCTCGTTACAGGCTCACAGTTTCCCAGTCATTCAGACGTCCACATTTCAATTCTAACAGACAAGCGTATACAGGTGATGTAGCAAAACAATTCAATATTTATCGGAAATTTTACTTCAATGTGCTTGCCTATTATTCAATACAATGTATCATAGATGTTAAAGATCAACTTTACTTATACCCCTTTTATAGAGCAAAACTCCAAAAAATCAGAGACACTACATCGAATTAGTAATTGGTCATTCATTCATTCATTCATTCTTTATTCAGCCAATGAAATAACATACAATACAATGACAGGAAATTTAACAAAAACAAGACAATAGATAACCTAAGTTGGCTAGGATTAACTATAGTGTGAAAAACACTCTGGCTCTCAGGCCTGTTAGTCCGGTCTTAGGATAATTTAATATAGATATATACAGACAATGATATTAAAATGATGTACAAATGAAAGTGATGACATTATGATTGAATTATTTTAAGTGCCTGATGGTTTTAATGTCTGTTCCAAGTTTGTCTCTTGCCTTTTTTAATCTCTTTTTTTGAATTTGTAAAATTGTTACATTTCAGTCTTTAATACAGTACTGCAATTACAATTATTTTTGAATAAAATACCTTTATGAATGAATTATATTTCTTTTATATTTGACTTCCAGGGTGCCTCATTTTTTCTTGAAGACGGAGTTTCAGCGGTGTCCATTAATGAGGCACTAATGTGGGCAAAGTGTAATAGCTTCTCACCATCAGCAACTGGTGATATCATAAACCCGTTCTGACCAGTGTAATGCAGTCAAGCATCTCAGTTTATTTTGCCGGTATTGTCTAATTGACCAACAGCATCCACATTTAAATTACCTCTGTAGTTGAATTGACCAATATAATGTGGTGATTTTACCCATATCATGGATACTTTTTTAACATTAAATTTAATGTTTTTGCTGTGAATGATGTATTATTTCAAAATAGTATATTTATGTATAAATGTACATGAAGTTATATGTATATACCGTAGTAAAATGAAGATATCTTAACAGTGTTGTGTGCATTGTTTTTTTCAAAGGGGAATGTATGATCCTCCCCTTAATCTGCATATAAGTAAATTAATAAGTTATCATTGTACTGTGGTATGTTAATCAGATGGCATTTTTTGATTTACTTGTACTTTATAGTATGAAGTATTTTTTTTGTACTGTACAAGTATACAATAAATATTTGTTCATAATGTATATGTACAGTACATACTGTAACCTGCTTATTATATGGGTACCGCCTGGTCTACAATACACTTTTTTTTTTATAAGAACACGGAGGCTGAAATTGCTTAAAAATTAAGAACAAAACACCTTATGTGCAGTAGGTGTGACTATGTAATACCCTCTATAATACAGTGCAGGAGGTGTATATCTACTTGTCATTTGGGGCCTTTTTTCCCTGGGGCACTTTTACTACATTCCAGTACAGTGTATACTGGTACAATAATACATTTGTATGTTTGAAAAGTGTGTAAAATTTTACTGGTTCTTATAAAAAAAGAAAGTGTAACCGTAATTTATGTCTGTTAATATACAGTATAGAAAATAAATATTTCAACTGTTGTCATGCTTTTGGTCAAATCTGCTTTTATTATTCTTCACCATGTATATGAAATAGGTCAAAGCTTCTTTCTCAACAACTGGAATTGTCCTGAAATGTTTTGCCACCGTCTGAAAATAAATATGAAAAATGCTTCGTATATAAATTGTCAGGAACACAAAGGTATTTAATTGAAAATGCTTGTAATTTGACAAATATTATTCAAATTTTAAATTAAGATGATGTGCCACATACAATAATTTGCTTGTTTCACAAAATATTACATAGAAAAAATTTACAAAGCAAAACATCAAAAAGGTAAAAAGGTCAGAAAATCCACAAAAAAAAGAAAAGAAATACACCACAATTAGATTCAGATTTATTAATCGATCCTATAAAATACAAGTACACAAAAACATTCAGCTGCATAAAAAGGTAAAGGCATTATACACATCATAAAAAGAAAACAGTTAGATGGAGCATTGGATAACCCTTTAAACCTGAAGGTTTGTTTCCAAAGGGGTCCAGAAAACATACATGTTGTCAAGCTTTGGGAATTATGGTAATTCTGAGGTGGCCCACCAAAATGTCTAAGTGCCTATAACGGTCTCTTCAATTATGTATAATATTTCACCTACTTCAGCAAGCTGTGCTTTATTTAGGCCAGGTTTAGTTTGCAGACGAAAATGGCGCTTGTAGCGACGTAGCGTGTTCACTTGAAGTTGGAACAAGTCAACCTGAAATGATGAAGAAAAGTTATATTGTAGGCAACTCACTGTACACCACTCAAGTATGGTGAAACAGACTGGTAGGCCTGTGGCCCTCTAATTAGCCCCTCTTGTCTTCATAAAACTTTGACTTAAAATCGTTTATAGTGTCAGCTTCAACAGTACTGGTTGGGAAAGCTGGGTATCTGAACTAAAAAGAAAAAAAAAAATTCAAAGCTTGCCTTGTTAGCTTGAACTTTATATTTTTCACCAATATTACTTTGAGTACTAAGGTTTCACACCTGTTGCATCCCAGAAAACAACAATCAATTAAAAATATTATATTTGATTGCTGTTTTGCAAAAAAGGTAAGTTGTAATGAAGTAAAACAATTATTATAATCTGTAACTTATTAACTCATCTCAAATTTTTATAGAAAAATTTATTATAAAAATATTTAAAAAAATGTTTTTTAATTGATTTTTAGAGGTTTCGAGAGAATTGACTCTGGTGTTGGACATGCCACTAACAGTCTTTTTTTACTTCTTTGCATTGCATTTATAATTTTGTGTTTTATTGTGGCTGTGTCAAATTTATAATAAATAAATAAAGCTCTATTTACACTAATCACTATGAGATTTAGCATATAGTATATGGGCAAGATATGACATCATTATACCCATAACTGTATGGGAAAATCACACATATTTACCTCAGGGGCATCAAGTTCCCTGTCAGGAGATATACCACGCTCTTCATCACTTTCTCTCTTTTTGCGTTTATTTCGTACACTCTGTATAACTGCTTTGTGATAGTCGCATATATATATATGTCGCACCTAAAAAAAAAAAAAAAACAAATTAGAAACTAAAATCCAGTCAAGATCGCATAATTTACCCAAGGGCTTAGTTCTATGTATTGGAAGAGACTACCAATATGCAAAATTAACATATTATATGTATAATATAATATCAGGATCCTCTCCTGGCATTCTTACATTAGCCATGTTTACACGGCCATTTGCTATCAGTTAAATAACACCGATGGTCACCAGTTGAGCGTCTACACGATAAAAAATATTATCGGTTATACCAGGAAGTCACATGACTAGAACTGACCTGAAAAAAAAAGTGCAATTCTGCTTGTTTTGAAACCCTTTGAACAGTTTAAAAATTTATTTAATTGAAAAAACAATTTCTCAAATAATAATTGTATTCACACTGTTTATCAACAGCGACTTTCAGTAATGACTCACACAGGTCAAACAACAGCTTATTTGCATAAAGATCACCCCAATGACCTCTGTTAACACCGCTGCGATGCGATCATTGTGGTTACTGATCCGTTATGCGGAGTTACTTAATTCCATTTACACAGCCACTTAACACCTATATCAACGGATATACGCAATCATCACAGTGATCTGCCGTGTACTGTCCTATGTCATTCTAAGAGAACTGGAAGTTTTTCTGTTCTTTGTCACACTGCCAGACTCTGGAATAATCTCCCTACTGAACTTCAGGACATTTCTGATCCCAATATTTTCAAACAGGCACTTGAGACTCACTTATTTGCTTAGTACTTCCTATTATCATTTTTTAAATGTTGTGTCAGTTGTGTGTTTTGCTTTTGTTGATTGTTTTGACGATACAATTGTGGTGCTTGTGATTTCTGTTTAATGAACCTGTATTACATTATTCTGCCTTGAGTTTTTTCCTGAGCTTGTAGATTTAGCTTTATAACTGAAAGGAAAAGGCACAATATAATTACTTTACTGAAAAGCATCGCTTCAGGGAAGTTACTTAATAGTGACATAGAAAGTTTGAAATGTCAAAACTGTTAAGTATGCACATGTAAAGATGATATAGCATAATTAAACATTAGGATAATCATGTACCCATATATTACTTAAATCTATAACTTACACTGTGATCAATGTTAAGTTTGAGTTTTCTTTGTTGAACTGTTTTTGCAATTCTTTTACTGTAACAAGCATTGCCAGCTGCACGGCTACATCTTTCAGCATCATCAACAAGGCAGCATATCTGACCATGCCCTACATCATGTATATCATCCTCAGTGCTGAATCCATTCATAGTAACAATTAATTGCTGAAGAAAAAAGGGTGATAACTGTTAATTTCTATATCTTTTACTCATGTTCAGTAATATTGCGCATTCAATTAGAAATTTTCCTTTCATTTATGCAAGGGTCGTTGAGGGAGTCTCCCGGACTCCTAAGAGAAACTACCCATCTCCTGCAAATTCTTTATACCGGTATTGATATTTTTCTGCTAAGGCAGGACTTTTTTTATACTTTTTGCAAACTTATTTTTAAAGATCATCAGAGAAGGGCGGAAAAAGAAAATGTTGGTTTCTATTTAACAAAGAGTTTTACCAAAATCATCCAGATGGAGGAGAGGAGAAAATAAAATTATATTGGTGAATGTAAACAGTGTAGTAAAAAGATGGTTAAATGCTTTAAACTTATATAATTAGGAAGAAATATACATGTTATTTTGCAAATTTCAAGGTAGCGATGGGCATAATAAATATAAAGAAAAACATTTTTTCGTGGTGGCGGGTGCACTAAGGCCCTATAAAAAATATTATTAGTTTATCACCCTATCTGGGCAGGAAAAGTGATGAGGGAGGGAGGCTTTTTTTTAAATTTTTTATTTTGCTAAAGCCAAATATCACCCTTGGGTTGTTTGCTGATGCATTGATATTCAAAGTAAAACAAGATTTAGATAATGCAAACAATATCTACTAACTATTTAATAAAATAAATGAAAATAAATAAAAAAATAATATTTTTTTTTCAGTACCATAAAAGGCATGCGCGCAAGGGCCTAAACAAGGTACAGTATAAAAAAAGTTTCCCATAATGTATAAATCAGTGGCAGATCCAGAAAATTGAAATGGAGGGGGCCCAGGGAGGGACTTTCACAGGTTGTTGTCTGTACACCTCAGCCCTGCCACGGTTGGGACTGAAGTGAGAAAATGTATGATAATTACACCTCCAGATGACCGAATTTGAATATATAATTTTCATTTTTCCTCCATTTTCTTTTTATTTTTAAAACCCCCATTGACTGTAAATATCAATTGTCACTCGATTTTTATCACATCCAATTATATTTTACTGTGCATGGTGGTCTCTCTCAGCACTGACTTCTGTGAGACAATTGATATTTGTAAAAACATGCACATATTTTGAACTCGCAGGAGATGGGTAATTTTTCAGGGCAATTCTTCTTGCTTAAATGATGTGGGAGTTTAGGAAACCTAGGCCTACTACCTATTTTTCGTGAATTCCTGCAAATTTCCGGACACTTCAGACACCTACCTGGCGTGCAATCAAATATAAACCCAATATTATAATTCTAGTTCGTGATATTATTAGGCATGTAGGCCCTGTCTCTTATACACATCTAGATGTGTATAAGAGACAGGCATTGGATAACCCATTACCTGTCTCTTATACACATCTAGATGTGTATAAGAGACAGGGAGTAAGAAGCATGAATTTGATAACAAGGTTCATGTCATAGGGCGACGCCCGTGCCTTGGATTCTCGCCGCTTATTGGAGAGTTCTTATTCCTGAACATAAGCTTGCATATTTCATGTGGATTTCCCTTGTATTTTTATGTACATACAAATTGCATGACAAAAGTAAAAAAAAAAGACATGCAAAATAAGTGTTAGGTGGCTGGATGTGCACACGATAGCTTCCTGTAGTTTTATCCACCTGAACATTTTAAGTACATGTTAGGTGGCAGCCGTGCACTTATTGTTAGGTGGCTAGCCACGCCCACTTGTTAATAGCTTTGGCTGACCGTGCAGGCTCATAAATAGCTTTCTGTAGTTTTATCCACCTAAACATTTTACAGTTAAAAAAAAATCCAAAATTATTTTATTCATGATGTATTATGAATTTCACCAACTAATATTTAATGGAAAGGAATATTGTAATTTTTCTAAGAATTCACTTTCCATGTCAAAGTTTGTACAGAATTTTCAAAAATGATTATTTGTAGGCATGAAATTAGTTTAAAATGATTGTAAAGTTAGAATGTAGTGTATTTGACATCCAGTCTGAAATAGACTAAACTCATGTAGACACACTCGTGAGTCACTTTTACTTCATGTTTTTAAGTGTAGCAGGATAATTGAAGAGTTGGATATGTTTCGTGGTGACCAGCATGTTGGTTGTACTTCAATACATGTGCACTTTTTTGATTATAGCTCTTTGTATAATGCTTTTTTTAAATGTAGTTTTGAAGATTTACTCAATAAAGTTTTGTTTTAGTGTACTTGTGGTGTTGACAAATGTTTTAATATGAAATGCATTCGAGATGTGAAAGTGGAGTCATGGAGCACAGTATGATATAAATCAACAACCTGGAGTGAACAACATGGCAACTATACTAAAAAGTAATGCACTACCTTTTTTATAAACAATATAATATATACAGTATATATATTAGAGATTAAAACAACTTTAAGAACACTGATTTATTAACAAGTTGTTGACAATGAACTTTTGTGGTGAATCATCTTGTATAATCTTCTATAAACATGGGCGTCGATATCAGTGGGGACAGGGGTACCGCCCACACCACTTTTCAAAGTGGGGACATATCAATTGCCCCCGCCCCACCTTTCATCATGTCTTGTACAGTTAAAGATGTATATTGTCCCTTGCTAAATGCCAAAAAAAATCTTCTTTTTTTTTAAAAAACATTTTGAAGTAACATAAAAGTTATCAACTTGAACATATAAATTAGTGTATGTAATAAAAAATGTCTACCCAAAATGACCCAAAATGGAAAAATGATAGAAACACTTCCAGTTACTAGAAGTGTTTTATTCTTATTATAATTTTTTGGTTTAAAAATCAGGGTACACATTTTTAAAATTCAATAATTGTTATGCACAAGTTAATAATTTGTATGCTATTGCAATATGAGCAAGTTTATTTCAAAATTATTTTTTATGATTTTTTGACATTAGCAAGGGACAATACATCTTTAAAACCCCAACCATTGTGGGGCTGAGGTGGGTATGTTCCACCTATTGCCAGCCCGCCCTCCACAAAAAATTTCTGGATCCGCACAAAAATGCTAACTAAATGCTGTGTGTGCTTCCTTCTTAGTCCTGTGATCGTAAGTTAGACGGTAGTACAGTATTTCCACTCACAAGTCGCAATACTACGTGCACAAAAGTGAAATCCAAAAGAGGAGAAAAGGAAAACTTCTTGATTGATTTTAAAAGTACTGTACCTGCATGCAAAGAAACTATAGAATTGGAGTTATTATCCATAGAGGAACAAGATTTATCTTATTTGGTTTTTTTTTATGGTTCGAGCATGATTATGATTACCAGGATAAATTCAAAAATTTCTTACGATGAATATTTCAGTGGCAGATTTAGAAGAGCCCATCCTCCCTATTTTTTTCAAAATTTAAAGTGGAGAAAAAAGAAATTACAGGCCCTTAGCCAGGGGGGGGTTTATGGTTCGGGCGAACCCCCCTGTTTTCTAGCGAACCCCCTCAAACTTTTGAATGAGTCCCACTCGGACGGAATGTCTGTATTTAACTTACCCAGCATTAAATCAAAATTTAGCACCTAATTCATTATTTAGTGACCCGTTTTTAAATTCTAGCCTGCGATACAAGCCTTCATTCATAGAATATCTCAGCTTCAGAAGTTCGGTCGGAGATTTAAATTGAACGCAACTCCGGCAAACCATGAATTTACGATGGCTTACATATAATGATGGCAAACATCTATAAAAACCCGGCTCCCGTCTCAACTCTGACTGGCCTTTGCCTGAATGTTTGTAAGAATGTACCAATCGGTAACGAAACTGGTCACCGTCTACCTAGAGTAAATTGCGCCACTAAAGGAAGCTAAAGTTTTGCGACTTAATCCACCAAATGCAGCTAAAGTTTTGCGAGTTAATCACCTGATTCTGGACTGTGTGGTTAGTAAATTCCATAGCCATATACTGTCCACAGCGCACACTAACCTATTTGCTGATGGAGCATTTTTGGGAAATTGCCTCCTTTTTTCCATCCCAAACAAAATATTATTAATAAGTCAACATGGTCCATCTCAGTCATCATAGCCATTCAAAAAATTAGGAAGGTTGTTTTCATCAGCAGACACACACACACAACAGAACGGAGTGCGTCAAAACGAGTGTTTGTTAATTATTAGTGATAAAGAATTAGGCCTACGAAACGTCGTAGAATAACTGACTTTTTTCGTCCACTGTGGCAAAGAAGAAAACGACAGATAGTCCTTTAAGGTGGGTTATTTTCACAAAAACGAGATGCAATAATGAAAAAAAAAATGATTATTATTGTTCATTTTCAATTTTTTC